AGTACGTTCGTTCCTTAGCCTCCGTACTATCGTTCCTGTGTAGGCCATAACCTTGTCAATAGATCCAACACGTTCCTTTAGGTTAAACCTTATATAGTAATCGTTCTTTAGGAATACCTCCAATTAATTACCTTCACCTGTAATTTACCTGTACGTTCATTTAACATTAAATTCAGTTAATTAATCACTAAAAAATCACGTAATTTATATAATATAGTTTATATAATTCTTAAGCAGTAGTTAGTTAAGAGAATTTCTATATTATTCCCCAGTACAAATGGTTTTAATTGGTCTAGATTCCTTCTGTCTGTCTGTCTTTATCTTCTTATCTTTATCTTCATCTTCTTCATCTTCTTATCTTCTTCTCCTTTCTTCTCTATTTCTATTAGACCGAATCATAATAATCACAATATTTTGATAACAGCCAATCAAAGGAACTATTTTAATTCGCGTCAGGTGTTGTTGTGACGTATGATGATATTGTTGTACGTAATGATGCCGTAGTTGTGACGTATTGGATGATGTGGTTGTGACGTAATGATGCTGTAGTTGTGATGTATTGATGACGTGGTTGTGACGTGATATGCTGTAGTTGTGACGTATGACGTTATTATGACGTAATGATAAATTATTTTGTGACGTAATAGCAATCATTTTTGTTTGTTTGTCTTTAGTTTACCTGTAGAAAGAATTTTAAGAATTGTGTCGTCTTTATTAGTAAACTATTGTCACCTGAGCCCAATGGGCTGTGTCTATGGGCCCCAGAATGGATCCTAACCTAACGTATTGTCAAGGTTTGGGGTCCCAGCAGGATTGGGACCCCATAGAATCATGTACCTATTAGAACTGGGGTCTATTAGATTCGGGTCTTGTAGAACTGGGGCCTATTAGAACTGGGGCCTATTAGAACTGGCTCTACTGGAACTGGGGCCTATTAGAACTGGGACCTATTATGAACTGGGGCCTAATAGAACTGGGGTCTATTAGAACTGGGGTCCCTTAGAACTGGGACCTATTGGAACTGGGACTATGAGAACGGGGCCCATTAGAACAGAGGCTATTAGAACTGGGGCCTATTAGAACAGGCGCCTATTAGAACAGGCTTTACAGGAACTGGGGCCTATTAGAGCTGGGCCCATTAGAATGGGCCCATTAGAGTTGGGCCCATTAGAGCTGGGGCCCATTTAACCTGCTTGTGTTAGGTCCACAAAACTCGATTTCACAAATGTCCAAATATCTGGACACTACCCTGACCTACTCCTGACTCCATACCTCCTCCCTTACCCTGACCTACCCCTGACCTTACTTCTGACCTACCCTGGACCTACCTCTGACCTACCCTACCCGACCTCCTTACCCTACCCCGACCTACCCTTACCCTACCCCAAGAATCAACAGTATCCATATAATTAGAGGTCAAGTCAGGTCAACAGAACAAATAACTAACCTTGTTTGTGTTGACAGAGTAGTTATGCTGTTTAAATAGACTATATAATCACATTAATCTAAGCTCCGCCCACTTGTCCCTCCATAGGAACACAAATTATTATTTCTATGACTAAAAAAAATGTTACTTGAGATAATATAAATGTGTGTTCCTTTTTGTTCCTTGATGCTGTTACGTACGAGGCTCCGTTATGTTCCGTACCGTGAGGGAATGATGTTACTTGTGTGTGTGTGTGTGTTGGAATTCATTTGTTTGTAGTGAGTGAGATTGTGGGGTAACTGTGGGCAGGATTGTGGGTGAACTGTGGGCAGGATTGTGGGTAACTGTGGGCAGGATTGTGGATGAGCTGTGGGCAGGATTGTGGGTAACTGTGGGCAGGATTGTGGGTAAACTGTGGGCAGGATTGTGGGTAAACTGTGGGCAAGATGGTCGACTTTTTATGATTGAAAGAATGTTAGAGAATCAAGTGTGAGGCACCACCATTACTCTCCAACACTCCAACACCTCCTCCAACACTCCAACACTCCTCCAACATCTCCACCACCTCCCCAACACTCCACCACCTCCTCCAACACTCCAACACCTCCTCCAACACCCACCACCTCCTCCAACACTCCACCACCTCCTCCAACACTCCACCACCTCCTCCAACACTCCCCACCACCTCCTCCAACACTCCACCACCCTCCAACACTCTCCTCCCTCCCCCAGAAGTGATAAATTAGACAACTTTTGATAGTTCTACTTAAAGCAGCGTTAAGTAGTTAGACCTGTAATGTACTTGTTTCAGTCTGGTTTTAAGGCGGTCACTTCAGAGGGTCAATGGTTGGTATCACACACACACACGCAGATACACACACACGCACGCAGATACACACACACGCAAATACACACACACACACGCAGATATACACACGCACACACATACATGTTACGACCCCATAAGTAAATGGCTATAAAACCATGATTCAATTTTTTCCTTCTTTTTGCCTTACTCTTTCCTTAAGTAGTTAAGTATTGACGTACTTTACTAGCTTTCTACTTATAAGAGCTGTAACAGTCTCACTTTATCACTTAAGAGAAGTAATTTATGATACACAGAGCTTTGAGTAATAGTTAACTAGATATAAGAAGAATGAGAGATCTTTCTTGTCTAGGTTCAAGTTATAGATGGAGGAATTGAGAGATCTTTCTTGTCTAGGTTCGAGTTATAGATGGAGGAATAAGTCATATCAAAACGTTTATTCATTTGTTTTATTATCGTATTTTGAAGGTTCTTTGTAGGTTTAGGTTTGTGTGTTATTGTTATTATTCCATCTATAGATTTTTTAATAGACGTCTGAATAGGTTAATATGTCTTAAGAAATAGGGATGGGGTTTAAAATGCCCCAAATTAGAAAACAAAAGAAAATCGTCGACTATATGATTAAATGCTGATCATTGTACTTATATTTCACTTGTTTTTAACTACCATATAACTCCTGCCATCATAATTTCTATACAAACTCCTTCGTGTCCAAATGGTTAATATTATAACAAATATTTAACACTTTAGGATAATAGTAGAACATTCTCCTTAATAACATGTTAAAAATAGGTGATAATATTTTCACTCTCGTCTCTATGCTAGCACACGCTGATGATAATGACGTCACAATTTGTTTTGGTTTTGCGCAATAAACACCATGAAAAGTATAAGGTCGTGAATCATCCACTGTAGGAGGCTCTGATAGCATTTAGTAAAGGATTCACACCCTTATAATCACAAGGCTTGATGCGCTTTTGTTTTGACGTCCATTTTGAGCAGCCATTAACGAAAGCTTGACCAGGGATAGTTGTAGTTTTTGAGGCCATTTAATAACGAATACATTAAATTAACGCATTATTTTAGCAATTAATTAACGCTGAGATACGATATTTATTTGTTATATAAATGAGGTATATAACGAAAGGGTTTTACCATGTTTAATTGAAGTATAAATAAGCATTAACTTACCCTCATAAGTAAATATTTGCCTGAAAGTCTACAGGGCAAACAATATCCTCGTCTACTTGTTTACATAGTTCCTACATCAGTAATAAACGTAAATTGTCTACATAAAAGTTTCTTGGAGACATTTTTATAATATATTCATAAAAAAAAATTGTTTGCACTGTGATAATCATTGTTTGTTATAATATAAATTGTTTATATAAATATGGAAGCTGTTTACATCCAACCAGAGGTGATATATGCCCTAAAATATATATGTAAACAGGAATAAAAATTGTTTGCACTTTCAATATATCGTTTACATCCTGTTAAACACTGTCTGTCTGTCTGTCTGTCTGTCTCTAACCTACAATGTACAATTATCATCACATAATAATAATTACCCTTCCCTTAATGACCCTAGTTATCATAATTATCTTCCCCTAATTACCCTAGTTATCATAATCACCTTGTTAACTAATTACCTTCAGCTTCCATTAGTTGAGTTATTAACTTTGTAATTAAAGAGCAATAAATGACCTTTGATTACCTGTGTTGTTCTTACCTATGTATGTATGTATGTATGTATGTATGTATGTATGTATCAATAAACTCAAATAAAACACCAAATTTATTCATATATAAAAAAACAAATTATTAAAAATACAATGAATTTGTTTATCAATACAATTTAATGACGTAATAGTGACGTCATGGGAGAGGGAGGAGCTTGTGTTGATTTCAAGCTAGATGTCACGGGTTCGATTCCCCGCTGAGTTGTTTGGACATACTTAGCCCCCATTAGTCCCTGTTCACCTAGTAGTATAGTAGGTACTTGTTTTAAGTCGAAAGTTGCGAATTCGTAGTCAGGGATAAGTTGTTGGAGCTTCTAATAACATAAAATTGGTTATTACGTCGAATTTTACATCTACTTGGACATAGGTTCGAACCCTCATGACAGCCTTGACTATTATTATTATTATTATTATTATTATTATTATTATCATCATCATCATTATCATTATTACACAAGAGCTGTGATCCGGTGACACACACACACATTATATTTTATATTATATTTTACCTGAACCAAATTTTCCTTGAAGTTTAATAATTGGGGAATTACTTACAAATTGCCGTATAATCGTTTCGTGAATAATAGCTGAATTATATAGAAATAGATGACTAATTGATATATAATCGTTTGTAATAACTAATAATTCCTTCAACTAATAACTGGATTATTTAATATTAAAATCTTCCCTAAATAAATAGTAACAAGTATATAAAATAGCAATACCTGGCAACTGCTTCTTGATCAATATTTACCTATTTCACGATTATTAACACATCATTTACATAAAGATTGAACTATAAATAATAAAATTAATAATATGTATATAAATTATCAATTATATATATCAATTATCAACAATAAATGTGAAGAAAGGTAATAAAATGTAAAAATTGAGGTATCTGGAAGGCACATGTGGCAACTCATCAGCATGTTGGGACGAGTCGGGAAATTTGCTCTAGTAGTGACTCAGACGTTGGTGAGAGGGTGTCTCTTGCCTGCTCCTCATACGTTCACTGAAACCTCCCTTCCTGCTGTTCCTGTTGAGAGCTGTTCCTGTTGAGAGCTGTTCCTGTTGAGAGCCGTTCCTGTTGAGAGCTGTTCCTGTTGTGAGCTGTTAAAGTTGACAGCCGTTCCTGTTAAAATATTTTACGTCTTTTCGTAAGTAAATTCCGTTTGTTTACATATTTCTTTTAGCTAATTACTGGTTCCATTTGGGTTAGGTTAAGTTAGGATCATTTTAAGTTAGATTAGGTTAAGTTAGGTTCACTTTAAGTTAGGTTAGGGTCATTTTAAGTTAGGTTAGATTAAGTTACGGTCATTTTAAGCTAGATTGGGTTGTTACGGTCATTTTAAATTAGATTAGGTCAGGTTAGACTAAGTTAGGGTCATTTGGTTAGATTAGATTAAGTTAGGTCCATTTTAAGCTAGATTAGGTTAAGTTACGGTCATTTTAAGCTAGATTGGGTTGTTACGGTCATTTTAAATTAGATTAGGTCAGGTTAGACTAAGTTAGGTCATTTTAAGTTAGATTAGATTAAGTTAGGGTCATTTTAAGTTAGGTTAAGATAGGTTCCTTTGTTATAGTGTGTAAAGAGATTAACTGAGTATTGTTATGATGATAATGGCGGTAACACACACAGAGATACGATGTCCCTGGCTGTCTCTGTCTGTCTCTGTCTGTCTGTGCCTGTCTGTGCCTGTCTGTCTGTGTGTCTGTCTGTCTGTCTGTGCCTCTGTCTGTCTGTGTGTCTGTCTGTCTGTGCCTGTCTGTGTGGTGTCTGTCTGTCTCTGTCTGTCTGTCTGTCTGTCTGTCTGTGTCTCTGTCTGTCTGTCTGTCTGTGCCTGTCTGTGTGTGTCTGTCTGTCCATCTTTGTATCGTAGGAAAATACTAGTACAATAATATACCAAGGTGGGTGGGGTGGGTTTGGTGGGCAGGGTGGGCTGGGTATGGTCGGTATAGTGGGCAGGTGGCTGGGTATGGGTCGGTATAGTGGCAGGGTGGGCTGGGTATGGTCGGTATAGTGGGCAGGGTGGGCTGGCAGTGGTCGGTATAGTGGGCAGGTGCTGTGTATGGTCGGTATAGTGGGTTGGTATGGTCGGTATAGTGGGCTGGGTGGGCAGGGTGGGCTGGGTATGGTCGGTATAGTGGGCAGGGTGGGCTGTGTATGGTCGGTATAGTGGGCTGGGTATGGTCGGTATAGTGGGCTGGTGGCAGGGTGGGCTGGGCATGGTCGGTATAGGGCAGGGTGGGCTGGGCATGGTCTGTATAGTGGGCAGGGGGGGCTGGGTATGGTCGGTATAGTGGGCTGGGTGGGCTGGGTATGGTCGGTATAGTGGGCAGGGTGGGCTGGATGGTCGGTATAGTGGGCAGGTGGGCTGGTATGGTCTGTATAGTGGCAGGGTGGGCTGGGTATGGTCGGTAAGTGGGCTGGGTGGGCTGGGTATAATGGTATAGTGGGCGGGTGGGCTGGGTATGGTCGGTATAGTGGGCAGGGTGGGCTGGGTATGGTCGGTATAGTGGGCAGGTGGGCTGGGTATGGTCGGTATAGTGGGCAGGGTGGGCTGGGTATGGTCGGTATAGTGGGCAGGGTGGGCTGGGTATGGTCGGTATAGTGGGCAGGGTGGGCTGTGTATGGTCGGTATAGTGGGCTGTATATGGGCTGGGTATGGTCGGTAGTGGGCAGGGTGGGCTGTGTATGGTCGGTATAGTGGGCTGGGATAGTGGGCTGGGTATGGTCGGTATAGTGGGCAGGGTGGGCTGGTTGTGGTCGGTATAGTGGGCAGGGTGGCTGGGTATGGTCGGTATAGTGGGCAGGGTGGGCTGTGTATGGTCGGTATAGTGGGCTGGATGTGGGCAGGTATGGTCGGTATAGTGGGCAGGGTGGGCTGTGTATGGTCGGTATAGTGGGCTGGGTATAGTGGCAGGGTATGGTCGGTATAGTGGGCAGGGTGGGCTGTGTATGTCGGTATAGTGGGCTGGGTATAGTGGCAGGGTATGGTCGGTAGTGGTGGTGGGCTGTGTATGGTCGGTATAGTGGGGGTATGGTCGTATTAAAGGAAGGAAGTGATGGCCGCTCTCATAGACTGGCTGACTGGTAGTGACTGTTTCTTCCTCTTCCTGTCGTTTATGTGGGTGTTTGACTGTATGACTGTTTAACTGTATGACTGTTTAACTGTATGACTGTTTGACTGTATAACTGTTTGACTGTATGACTGTTTGACTGTTTGACTGTATGACTGTTTAACTGTATGACTGTTTGACTGTTTAACTGTATGACTGTTTGACTGTATGACTGTTTGACTGTATGACTGAACTAATAAGCCTGAGAGAGCGAGAGCATAAGAATGGAGGAAACTAGAGCGGGCCATACTGGGCAGTCCACCCAGCCCCTATTGCTCATATAAACATCCAACCTAACACTAACCTAACACTAACCTAACACTAACACTAACCTAACCTAACACTAACACTAACCTAACACTAACCTAACACTAACACTAACCTAACACTAACACTAACCTAACACTAACACTAACCTAACCTAACACTAACCTAACACTAACCTAACACTAACACTAACCTAACACTAACCTAACACTAACACTAACCTAACACTAACACTAACCTAACACTAACACTAACCTAACACTAACCTAACACTAACACTAACCTAACACTAACACTAACCTAACACTAACCTAACACTAACACTAACCTAACACTAACCTACAGTGTGTTTGAAGCTATCCAGCGTATTCGAGTTAATGATGATATTTGGTAACTTGTTCCATTCATCCACTACTCTGTTACCAAACCAGTGATTACCTATTTCACGCCTAAATCTAAATTTGTCTAATTTAAAACCATTGTTACGAGTTCGCTCCTGGTTGGATAGTTTGAGTACCTTGTAATGTCCCCTTGTTTAACCCTGACTTCCATTTATACACCTCTATCATATCGCCCTCACTCTACGTCTCTCAAGGGAGTGCAGATTAAGATGCTTTAACCTGTCTCTTGTACTCAAGGTTCCTATGCCTGGGATTAGTCTTGTCATTCTCTGAATTCTTTCCAAGGATTCTATATCCATTCTGTAATACGGTGACCAGAACTGAACTGCGTAATCCAGGTGTGGTCTCACAAGAGCAAGATACAGTTTTAGGATGACCTCGCTAGTCTTGTATCTAACACCTTTGTATGAACCCAAGTACTTTATTAGCCTTGTTACGAGCAAAACACATTGTTTACTTGGCTTAAGGTTCCTACTTATCATTACTCCTAAATCTCTCTCTCAGTCGGATTTCTCTATGGCATCGTTGTTCATCAACTGGTTTCTGTTTACATCTCCTATACTGAGTACTTTACATTTGTCCACGTTGAATTTCATCCGCCATTTCTCAGACCATTCGAAAAATTTGTTTAGATCTTGGTAGTTTGCCGAGTCCTCGTCAGATTTAATTACACGTCCTATTTTAGTGTCATCAGCAAATTTACTTATGTTGCTGTCTATGCCAATATCTATGTCGTTTATGTATATAATAAATAATAATGGTCCAAGTACTGAGCCTTGGGAACTCCACTAGTGACGTTGCTCCAATGGGACTTAGTGCCGTTAATGCTCACTGCTGTTTCCTGTCCTGTAACCACGCCCTAATCCATTTTAGAATATTACCTTTAATGCCATGAGCTTCACCTTTCTAATTAGTCTTTCGTGGGACTCTGTCGGAAGGCTTGCTAAAAGTCAAGCTATACCACATCATAATTGTGCCCCTCGTCCACCGATTTGAAAAGCTGATGAAAGGAATGTTAATATATCAGTTAAACCTGAACGCCAGAGAGAGGGGGGGGAGAGAGAGGGGGGGAGAGTTATCCCAACATTTTCTCTCGCTGTTAATAATAATAATCATTTGATAATAAATATTGATAATATAATCTCTTGTGGTCACTTGATATGACAACACTTACTGATGACATTGGTGGTGTTATTGTTATTGTTGTTGTTGTTTTTATTATTATTGTT